TATTTTTTTTTAATTTTTTTGTTTTTTTGTAATTCTAGTTATCAAGTAAAGTACAATAGATGGTGGGGTTGTGGTGGGACAAAGATGGTGGTGATTTGGTGTGTCATGGTAGTGGACTGGTGGGTGACTATAGTGTGGGTTGGGTAACTGAAATCAGAGGCTAATTTATTTAAGTTGATTATATAAAACTTAACATTGATTAATTAATAAATTAGAATCAATGAAAACAAAACACTTGTCTAATTAACCTATTGTACTGGTTAGTAACATCTCTCAACAAGTTAAGAGCTAAATTGAGCTGCTTTTTTCAAAGTTGGGATCATACTAATTATTATGATTATTTTGAGAAGATCGCTGAAAGTTGGGATAATTGCTAGTATCAAATTTTCCTTTTTAATTTAAATTAGGTTGGTTTTTGACGTTTCTTCATTAAGCAAAAAAAGCTCAAGGCACATAAAAAAAAAAGAAAAAGTGCTCTACCCCAAACACTGATAAATAATGAAGTTTTTTAAAAAAAAAAAATAAATAAATAAATAATGTTTTTAAATATATTCGCCATATACTTGAACGGAGATCTATAGACAAGCATCTTGTTAACATAAGATAATATTTATGTGTGTGATTGAAATCTACAGCTCTAGACATCTCAACAAGTTTTATAACTGCTCTTAAATTACATGAATGTCAACTAACTTAGATCATTAAATCTTGTAAGTTGATAACTAGGATTTGGATTAAACTCCAACTATATATATCCTTTATATATAGCTTTCTATACAATATGCAAAACGAAAAAAAAAAAAAAAGAAAAAAGCATTTGCATATACGAGTTGTATATATACTTGGTCTTTCCTCCTCCAAATACACTAGGAATACATCTGCATTTGCATCTGCTTTTGCTCTTGAAGAAGAGACAACAACACTTCATTTAACTTTTCAAAGTTTACGTTGTACTTTCCTTGACCTCCTTCCGTCTGTTAAAACAACATACACATATTAGAACGTGTCACATGACTGGATTGATAATTTACTTTACATAGATTTGGTAGGGTACAGGTCACGCAAATAGAGACGATAACAATTTCAAAATTAGCGAGTTTTAAAGTGGACCAACCATATTTCTAATTGGACTAGAAATTTCAATTATTCCTCGAAATTATCTAATTCGTCCTAGTCACCTTTTATGCTAAATAATAATGAAATACATAAATTCAAAAAACTTACCCACAAATGGATATTGTAGAAAGTCCTTCCTCCAAAAGATTGAAAAGATGAAACATCAATAACAAGATAACCATTCTTCTCAAGCACCAAAAGTACCTCACATATTGATATCCTCTCAACTGTTGATATTTGGATCACCATTTCTTTATCACCCAATTTATTTGAAGAAATCGAACACGACGTCGTTTCATCAATTATGCATTTTTTAGGGTTTTCTTCTTGAATAATTTTCCCAACATTTCCTTGTAATGCTGATATTTTTGATAAAAATACTTCTTTCTTACGAGCTAATTTATCCACTTCCTTTTGTAGTTGAGGTATATATTCAAGCACACGTCCAACTGTTGCTGGAATGCTTAGTTTTTTCTGCAACGTAATTTAAGCATGTTAGAAATTAATTAATGATTGCAATAATATGTAACATATATATTTGCACGTAAGAATAATGTATGTTGGATAAGAACACCATATAATTAACGTTATTTTTACGTCTTGTGAAATTTTATGTCAATAAATTGACACGGAAATATATATCTTTATAGTTTATACTCCGTAATAACTTTGTCTTAACAACAGTAAATATTGTACTAGTTTGAATAATAGATTTTCCTTATAAACTAGCAATTTTATTATATGTTATAAATACACTATAAACCCTTTTTCTTGTAAAAATTAGAGGAAAAATGAGAGAAAAAATAATTGTTTTTAAAAAAAGTACTTACCCTCTGATCAGTTGCAGGGAGCAAAGCACGTAGAGAGGAATACATGTCATTGATCTTCTTTCTTCGATCTCTTTCACTTGCATTATGATTAAGCTTCTTCGATAACAAAGGATTATTATCAAATTGATCTATTGAGCTTGTATTTTGTGGCGATTCGCTTTTCTTAACATGATCACTAGACACTACTTGATGACTAACGCCACAATCTTGAGCTTGAGAAGTAGCAAGAAACATAGAATCAATATCAAAATCGAAATTATCAAAATCTTGGTTTGTGTCTAATTCTAAGGGATACTCCCATCCTAAATTAGTAGGGCATAACAAAGGAGACATTGCCAACATTTTTTTAATAAAGTTTTTTCTTGGGTTTATTTACTTTGATAAGATGCAATGTATGACAATAATATGGTAATTTAGTCATTAGATCGATTATATATATAGGTGGTTTAATTTAATAATGTTTATGAATGTATTTGGATTGTAAAAAGTAATTAAAAATAAAGAGTGACGATTAAACCTGCTTGGCTCGTGAATTCTTACGCCGTTATTAAAACTAATCATCATTAATCTTATTTTAAACAAAGTATAACTTTACATATAAATTTTATAATCCATGATTATATTATTATGCTTGTAATGAGCTTGTGCATTTCTTGTGAAAGCTTGTGGAGTAATTATTTTTTATAGTGCTTAATCATTTTTGTTGGTATCACATCTTAAGGATAACTGTATACTATAATTTTATACTGTAAAATTAAAATAAATATAAAATATACACTTGTCAAATTGGAGTATTTAAGATAAGTATGTACAATAACTACTCTCTAGCATCTTATGTCTTTATCGAATAAATTTGATGCTAATTTAATTAATAAAGAAGACGTTGAAGGATGATGTTCAATCATTGACTTTAAGAGTGTCAACTCCTCCCTTAGTTAAATGATTTAAGAGTTATTATAATGTATTAAAATGTTGATAAGATTAAAGAATACTTTTTTTTTTTTTTTTTGACAAACAAGATTAAAGAATATTTTTATTTGTATAAAATGTATAAAAATGGTTATTTGTATAAAATGTATAAAAATGGTTAAACCTTAACGTACTTTATACCAGTATTTATTGAGTTCACGGTTATTAGATAATTTTTTGAAAGTTAATTGCTTTATAAGATACTTATATAAAATATATGAAAATGGTTAAGCCTTACCGTACTTCATGTTGATTGAGTTCAGGGTTATTAGATAATTTTTGTTCGATTCTATGAATGTACCCTTCTAAAATTAAACGCATATAAATTGGATCTTGTTAAGTTAATATGGGAAAAATGTACATAATGTCTTTTAATCATGCTTTGAAAATCACAAACAGGAAAAAGTATTAACTATTTTGATCTCATTCTCAATAAATATACAGAGTACAAATTTATGCTTATGTCAAAGCCTAATTTTTTTTCAACTACATTGTATTTAATCAGTAATTGACCTACTTATAATTAAAATGATAACGGTCAACTAATGAATTATATAAATTTGATAAAATTTCGTAGAAAATTCAAATAAGAAGAAATTTATAAATTTTTCAATTGAAATTAGCCAAATTGTAACAAGAATTTAGAAGTAGAAGATTCTGAATGACACCAAGATCTCAACATTGCTGCATAGTGGGGTGCATGCAAGTAGTTAGGCCAGTTGAATTAGAATATTAGAATAAATACAAATAGCACTGCATCCTCAAATATGGATCGAATGAAGGGAAGTCCTCTAAATTAATGGCATTTTAAGTGCTCGTGCCAAGCTTAAGCATAGAGTCGACTTTAAGCACCTTATCCTATTTGACCTAACGCAGGGCACGTGCCCCTCACAAATGTAGGCCCCTTTTAGTTCTCATCTTGTATGGTATCTGCCTCTCTGGAGGATTGACATCAGCAATTCAGATAATATTACATGAATTAAACAGAGCCTAACTTATTTGAACTTATTTAGATTATTAAAATAAATTATTTAAAAAAAAACCTTATTTGAGCTCCTTTTAATCTTATATTTTGTATTTATTTTAACTTATTTGAGTTTATTTTGTATGAACTTATTTAAAATTTTCTAAAATCAGCTACAATTCTATCAGAAGATTTTGAGGGGGAAAATGTCTCAACTTATCTTAACTATTAAGATGACATAAATATGCCCTTGGTCTTTAATCTAAATTAGTTTTTAGTTATAAACTTCATTGTGAAAGAAAGGAAAGCTATAACGTCCTTGTCAAAATCTTCACATTGATTAACGCGTAGAATACAAATGATGTTAGGCTCTATATCATATTATCATGAAATTGAACCCATTTCACAAAACTCAATCCTCAACCTCAAAATTTGAAGTAATTTTAAGGCATTTTTTATTCTTAGTTTAAATATTTGGGAAATGGTATTGATAAACTGATATAGCTATTTTTTCTAACGTATTATTAATTGATTTTTGTCATTTATATCATGTATATAGCGTGCAGCGTGCTGACTTAATTTTTGTTCTAACAAGTTATTTCTTCCATTTAAAATTAGATAACACAGTTTAATTTTGTACACTATTCACATAACTTGCTTTGACTTCGTTTTATGGTTTTGTGTTGAAAAAAAAGTCATATGAAATCTTGTTAAATTCATCTCAACATTTACTTTTTAAATATCAAAAAATTTACAGAGTATAATTTTTGCTAATATGTAACCAAAGATATTTGCATGAGAAAGTATACATTAGCAAACATATCGAAATGAAATGGATCATCTAATATAAAAATGGAGCAGTATTTAAGATGCTCCCTTATTTTTGAATGTTTTTTTAGCTGGGTTTAGACCAACCAACGTTTTACACCTGTTTTTTTAGCTCGGTTTAGACCAGCCAACGTTTTACACTTCTACTTCAGGTATACAATAATCAATTAATCATCAATTCATCACACTTATGTCCAGCTTCTAACTATTAAACTTGATTATGTGACATGATGCATATGACCACGCTGTGGTAAGAAACAGGTTCTTTAGAGAGTTACAACAGGCATTAGAAGGATAAGTGCACTGCAGTAAACAGCATAGCAAAAAAGGATAATTACCCATGCAGTAAAAACGCTACATTTCCACAAAACTGGAAAAATTAATTTTCAACATGTAGAACAGAGATTCAATTGATTTTCAGAGGTTTACAATATCAACCTCACCCATCAATATGTTCCCAAAAATTATTATTTTTTTGGTTAATGCTGTGAAGCACTCTACAAATTCAACAGGCAAAAGCAACAAAACAACTTGACGGACTCCAACAACCTCCCAAACATGCAGCAACTTCAACCTACATACATGAAAAAACAGATCTGGTAAGAGAACATTCATATGGAAAGAAAGTCGAGCAAAGGGCAACCCATGCTCACAAGAAATATCAATAAATGCACTTCGAAAGCAATTACCCCAAAACAGCAATCAAATGAAATCAAGAGGAAATATAACCTCCAAAAAACATAACCATCTTCAGATCATTTTCATTACAAAACAGTATACAGTGTAAATGATAAGCCACAACCAAATCATTGTTGACTGACCCACATGATAGTTGTAAGCAAAGCTTACTTACAAATTATAATGGATACCCAAAACAATAGCTCTTCCAACTTCCAAGATACAAATATTCAGTCATGTGCCCAAGTCATCCACCAAACTTACAAAAGGGAGTAAGAGAGTATTAACAAAGTAAAAAAAGAAACAAGAACATGAGCTGAAGTAACACATCCACCCATAGAACAATCCACTATAAGGGATCAACTCCAACGTCAAAATAAAATCCTATAAATGAAAGATAAATCTACTTATGACTTTGTGCAACACAATTCCATAGCTCTAAATTATACTTTGTAGGATATAGAATGTGTCATAAATGAACCGAGAGAGGATGTTTAAGGATCTGCCTCTTTCAGTTGGACTTGAGAGTTATTGATTTTGGTTATCTATGAAGGGTAGAGTTCAAGTTTGCATTAAATTGATTAAAACACCCAAGTCAAGTTGGATATTTACTTAAATTTCATCACATAGGTCATCATTAAACTAAGCAGGTCAGCTTTTATTAGCTTGATTTGTTATTTTTCAAAGATACCTCTTAAAATAACTGTAACTTGCAACATAAAGTAAAGCTTTCACCAACCCCATTCAAAGAACACACCAGCCAGCATTTCAGTTCGTTATTCTCTCCATCCCCCAAAGACTGCATAAATAGGGTTGTCAGATTGTCTCTAATAAAATTAGTGAATCTATTAGTAATAAGGAAGAAGTTAAGTTGGGATAGTAGATTATAATTTAATGCAATTAATTCATCAAATAAGGTTCACATTATGAGTCTTTCAAGTAGCTAGACACTCCCTGATACATTCTAACCTCCTTTCTCTCTATTAAATTCTCTGCTCTAATTGACTAATCTGCATAACCAAAAGTGCTTCCCCCAAGGAGCCACACAACCAGGATATCGTCCTACCCTACACCCTTTTTCCTCTCTCAAACTTGGGTTGAATGAAAACCCTCTTGTGGTTCTGGATACCTCTAGGAATGTCCGCAGTTCGGTTTGGAATTTTCCAAGACCAAACTGACCGCAAAATACGGTTCGGTGCAGTTTACAGTTTAAAAATTGTGGTGCGGTTTCAAAATTATGTTGTGGCTTAGAATTTTGACCAAACCTTGGTTACTGGTTTAGGTGCGGTAAAAAACAGTTAGGTTTGCAGTCTAGACCACGCTCTGAACAACCCTAAATACCTCCACCACACCACCAAATATAGAGTTTATAAAGCCACCATCTTCACCAACGCATTATCTGCAACCTCTAAACTCATCTGATAAGAGATGCCACACTACCACCATAGCTACTGCAGGCAAAAAGGCCACCAGACAGATGCCATCAGCATCACCTCTCTCAAAAATGCTCAACATCTGCAAAACAACTAGACTCCTACCTACTGTACCACAATCGAGATCCCCTCGACCCGTCAACAGTAGAATTTCATTATGTAACTTTGTATAACCACAAACATATTTGGCTGTCACAGGCATAACCACTGACATATTTGCCTAAAATGCTTGCTCAACCTCTTTAATCACTCACTCTCCACCTCGGGATGAGAAATCGCCACCACCAGGAGAGATCCTTCATCCAATGAAAAAGGTGGTAGTTGTTTTGAGTCTTGAGTAACACCGTGACTTGGTGGTCCTCCTCTTCAAGCTCCCATTAATCAAAATATAATTTGGGTACAGAGTATTTTTCCAAGACATTTTTTTAAAAGGTTCTCAAAGCATGTCCTCATTATTTCCTCCATTTATTGTTCAAATGTTGGTAACGATGCAAGAACTCCAAAGCCATAAATCCAATAAAATCTATTTAGTGGCAGCAAACTCCCCATGCTAAGAAAAGTTAAGTAAACTCAACCAACTAAAGCTTACATCATCCTTTCTTCCTAATAGCCTGTATGTATACACTCTGACTTTCTTTTTCTCTTCTCTTCAACCCCCCCCCCCCCAAAAAAAAAAAAATAAAAAAAAATAAAAAAAAAAAAAAAAATCTAATTTGACTAATTTGCATAACCAAAAGTGTCCCTTGCCCCTATGCTAGTTTATTACACTCAAAAACATGCAGAATCCAACCCAAAATAAGCTACAAGATACAAAGTTCAATAATAGTCACAGTGTAAACACACCTGCCCAACCTCATATACTAACTTCCCCTGCATATCTATATAGAGGACACAAGTAGACACACATGCACATACAACTAGAAGAGAATTAGCTAGGTTGTTTCAGTACTTCTGTAATCATTGTACCAATTAAATTTAAATCAAGAAAACAATGGTTCTTCATGGACACTATTGAAATGCTATTTAAAACATTAAGTGGTACTACAGCATTTATCATACATCGATAATCAGCAAACTATGCATTTGAGAAAAAGCATAAATCATGGATATCTACTTCCTCAAACACAAAACTCCATTCTATTACTTCATTACTCCACCCCTGCATCTATTTCAATATCCACATAATCATAGATATCTTCATGACTTTACTACCTAGTATCAAACATCATAGATAAGTAGCCAAACATTCTGGTTCACATATGGCAAGATCTCTCTCCAAAATGGATGAATGCATACTCATAATCAGAATCTAATTAATTAAGCACATTTCCTATACGGTAAAAAGTAGAAACCCATAAAATCCTATCACCCGTTCATAATTAAAAATTGTTATCACCAAATACTCCCTCGAGCACAGTACACCATCCCCAAGCACCAGACTACCATTGCTTTGCCCCCCTATCCCCCTTGCATCTACTACAATATCCACATAATCATAGACATCTTCATAATTTTACTACCTAGTATTACACATCATACATAAATAGTCAATGCAAGATCGACTGTAGGCATAGCACATTTCCTATACAGGAAAATGAAGCAACCCATAAAATCCTATCATCAGTTCATAATGTAAAAAAGGGCTAAACCAAATACTTCCTCGAGAACAAAACACCATTTCCAAGCACCAAACTACTTCCTCGCCCTGCCCCAATCCCCCTTGCATCTACTTCAATATTCACATAATCACAGATATCTTCATAGTTCACCTAGTTTCACAAACCATACATAAGTAGCGAAATATTATGGTTAGCATAAGGCATAATCAACTGCAGCTCTCCAAAATGGATGAAATTCACACTCATAATCAGAATCTAGTTAGTTGCATCGTGAGTTTGAGACATCTCTGCCCTTCACACATTTTCTGAAGGGCAATATGTAGCAACCCTTAAATTCCTATCATTGTTCATAATGTCAAAAAGGCTGTCACCAAACATCACAAAGCACCATTTGGAAGTACCAAATTACTTCCTCGTCCATCTAGCTCCTTTGCATCTTCGTAAAAAGATGCCTCAATAAGCGTCTTAACTCTTTGCTCATGACAGAATACAAAACTTGGTATCATAGCTGTTAACTTGAAACACCAGATACATATTTCTAGACAAAGGCAGCATCAGCCTGACAAATCATTTTACTCATCAGACTTTCTTCTCAGCGAGACGAGGAAATCCTACCCACACCCTCAAAGATTCAAACCAAACCAATAAAGAAATGAACGAAATTCAAGTTAACAATGACCACCATTTCACCTAAAATGGAGTGATTGTGGTAACTCGAATCATTACAGGCCTTAAGCATTAAAAGGAAAAGGCACACCAATTACCAAATTCAAAGTTATCCAATTTCAACTAAAAAAACTCAGAATTCAACATTATAACCCAAAAAGTGAGTACAAATCAATCAATCAAAAGCCACATTTCATCAAAATCCCAAATCACCAAACCCTAAAACATAAAACCCAATAATTTCAAGATCAAAATCGCGATCCAATCAATTTAACCAGCTCCAAATTCAATCAATTAGAATCAATTTGAAACAATGAAAACCTAATTACCTGAAAAAGGAGGGAGATCAATGACCATGTTTCTGGGCATGCTCAAGATGACGGCGTTCCTCGGGAAGAGCAACAAGGTAAGAGAAGGCCATACCACCAAAGCAAACATGATAAAGAGGCATGATTGAATCAGTCTCGATGTATTTAGCATGATAACTGTCGATTCCTTTGGTGAATGATTCCTTGAGGTAGGAGAAAGATAGCATAGGCTTCACCTTGTCGGGAACTTCCTTCACTGTGACACCTCGAAGCTCGTTGATGAATCTACGGAACGCCATTGTTGTTCGATGAGAGAGAAAGAGAGGAGAGAGAGAAATTGGGGATCGAATTTAGATTGTAACCCTAGGTCAAAGATTGAATTTTGATTGGGATGTGAAGATTGAATGTGAAATGGGTATTATAGACCTGAGCCTATTTTTTGCTCTTTTAGTTCACTTTGTGGTTTTAACCAATTGGCCCAAAGCTTATTTCTAGTGATTATTAAGGAAACGAGTTAAGCCCTATTCTTGTCAGATTATTTTCATTTTAGTTTAGCTCTATTAAATTCAGTTTAGTTCTTAATTTCCTACTCTCATAAAATATTCATTTCAGTTCAGTTCAATTTAGATATAATAAGTTCAGTTCAACTCAGCTCATTTCAGTCAATGAGAATATGCCAATAGGCTCACGAACTACTAGTGAACTAGGTTGGTTACTCTGTATAGCTCGTTTATGTTGACTAAAGGTGTTAATTCATATGTTCAAGTTAGGTTGGGTGACGTCGAGTTAAGTCAAGTTGGGTCGGATTTATTTCAAAATTGAGTCATGCTTTTTTTTAGTGTCTAGCAAGTCCAAATTTGAATCGATTTTTTTTTTTTTTTGGATTGGGTTTGAATCAGGTCGGCCAGATCTGGTTTCAACAACTTTATGTTAAGTGGATTCGAACAAATTCTAAAGTTTGCTTTGTGAATAGGTATAACTCGAACAACTTCTCGTATGATTCGTTAATGTTCATGAACCATTCATTTACGTTGTAATCATGTCTTATGGTGCGTGCCATCTAGTGGGAAAACCTTTCATATCCAAGTTGTGACAATGTTGTGTTACACAGGCCTGGCCCTTAGCAGGGTGAGCAACTGCACAAGGCTCATAAATTACTAGGGCCTTAAATAAGTTTTTAAATATAAGGAAATTAGTTGTTATGTTTGAGAATATTAGCGTATAACTCAATGGTCAAATAAAGGAGTATTTTTTTCAAGCAGTTTCAAGTTCGATATAATCCTATTTTCTTAACTAATGGGTTTGATCTTATACTTTGGGTATCAACCCTTAAAAGCTTTAACAAACTAGATATATCATCCACAATTTGCTAATTGCTAGTAATGGTGATTGTTGAAAAATTACAATTAATCTTTTATTGTATAATACATTGAAGGAGGACCCATTTATTTTTAATTGCATAGGGCCTCCATATACTTTATTTGGGACGCCCTAATGTCACATCACTCCTTTACTTGATATCTCCTTCCTAGCTAGACATGTTACACAACCTATGCATTGGTGGATCTCTTGTTACTTTGTTAGGCCACAAACATCGTCACAACTCACAAAGGGTTTAGCTTAGCTTCATGATACTAATGCTTAAGAAGTTCTTGAAAAGTGGTTGTTAGTTTTTGCTCAACTCGTGCTTAAATGGTTATTGATATACTTAGTATAGACTAGCTAGAGAGATGCACTATGTACTATTATGAGGTTGTGATATACTTCCTACATTTGTAAGCTACATATATGATGTGTGTAAGTTTCATTTTGTTCACTTGTGGGTACTTGAATATTCTCTTCACGAGAGTAACAGTTGGTGAGAGAATGGTAAACTTAAAAGGGTGAGAAATTAGACTATCTACAAGTTGAAAGAAAGCTACAACAACCAAAATCAATTGACATGTAGCACGAGAGAAAGTAATCCTAAATTTTATATGTAGTTGATTGTTTTTTTTTTTAACATAATTAGTAGATATATAGATTAAAAGGCTATAGCCTTAATATTTACAATGAGCATCCCATAATTACAATGAAGATCGATAATGCAGCAAAAGACGCCTATGCAACAGGCTATAAATACATCCGAATTAAAGCTAAAACAAGGAGCTATATGTACAACAGTAGTGAACCAAAAAACTTCCAGCCACCAAAAAATTTAAATAACAGTTATTTTTAACCATACTTCCAACCCAAAAGCTATAGACAATCCAAGACTAAGAGAAGAACACCCACATGACTAGTGATCAGCTGTTGCCTCTGCAACACTCTCCTTTTCTGCTTCATACAATTCAGAAACGCAATCAGGAACCAAGTAGTGTGTTTTGTATCCAACCGCCATCTCTCTTCCAAAAACAGCAAGGCGATGAGCTAATTCATTAGCCTCTCTTGGGATATGAGTCACCACATCTACTTCAAACTTGGAAAGAACAGTAGCAACATCACATACTGTTGCAGCTAACTCGTGGTGTAGGGAATAGTTTCAAGCCTTTAAAAATCCCACTAGCTTGAACCCCACTATGATCATACACTAAAGTACGGTGGCGTCCAAAAGGGAAGAAGATAGAGCAAAAGAGTTGCCAACAAGTTTTTAAGGAACTTGTAAACCGTTCACGAGGTGAAGGTTACACCCCTTAACGATCCAAGAGATCGTCAACTCCATAAGGTCATGAACCAAAATAGGGTTCGGGGATGATGGTACAAATCCAACCTAAAAGAGATTGAACCTGCCCTAATAATATGCTTCTACTTTATTCTGCTCGTATTCATGTGCGCTTTCTGACTAACATGCAATCAATAGGTTAACCCTAAACCTGTTTAATCTATGTTGGTTGAATATTAATGCACAAATAAACTATTATTGGTGATCACTTGAATTATAATCACAATTAACCCTAACAAGATTATTAATTATCTTATTAAGCGCGGTTACAAGTACAAATTCCCTTTAAACATGCAATAAAGGTGATCAAGCAATAACAATAAATAATATGTGTCAAGCAACATAGTAAATAATCAACATCATTAATAATAATAATATCCATCATAATTAATAATAATCATCATATTAAAGCATAATAAAAATAGCAAGATCCTAGGCATGATACTAACAAGATTAATAACAAACCCTAGCATGTCACTAAGCAATAAAAATCAAATCTTTAGCCCTAACATGATACTAACAATCATAAATATTAGGAAGAAAATAGGAAGCATAACAGGAATCATATTTAATATTAAAAATACCTTAGGCATGATACTAGGAATATCATAATAACAATATAAACATGATTTCTACATCATAAATCAATTAATCAATTAAAGTACTTACTTGGATGCCTCGTACCTCTTTCTAATAACAAAATACACACGTTAGTAACTTCAAGGAAAATAAATAATCAAAGAAATTAAATTAAATAATTGAAATAGAGATTTGGGACCAAACCCTCAGAAATTAAAACCTTTCACGTCTAGGGCGAAGACAACTTCGAATATGGCTAGGTGTATCTAAGTCTTGCGAATGCGGAAATTTTGTATTTGAGAAAAGGCTTGTTTAGAAAAAGAGAGAGAGAGAGAGAGAATAATCAAGAAAATCTTGATGAGAGTTGGTGATTGAAAAAGGGGAGATATGACCTCTATTTATAGGAAAAAAGAGGGTCGAAGAATTAAGAAAAGAATCCAAATTCGAATCGAAATAAAACTCATAGACAACAGTTTTTGCGGATTTTGTTTTTATCATATCTTTTGATCTAGAAATCAGAATAAGATGTCGTTGGAAAGATCTTGAAGTCTACTTTCTAACCCAATTAAAATCAGATTAAAATATGTTGTAGAATAAAAGATATGAACGAAATAGTGAGATGGTGTCAGTTTTGGATAGAGTTTGATATCTTATTCATATCTTTTCCGTTATAGCTCGGAATTATTGTTATAATATATCATTGGAAAGATAATTTCAAGATCTATCCAAACATATAAAATTTGGATAAAAAATATGAGGCACGAAAATAATATCTGATTGTCTTTGAACATGTTTAAATCTGAATAGAATTAGGACTTTAAAAAAGGAAAGTTTTATAAAAAAGGAAAGTTTATATTTAAATCAAATTCCTTAATCTTATCTTTTCAAAAAAGGATAATTAAGATATTTTAGAAACTTATAGAAGATTCTAATCAATCCTAATTAGTTTAGGAATAGGATTAAACCTTTGGACCCTCCTCGTGATCATTGGGTCGTAGGTAAAATCCGGTTTGGGCCCAGTTTTGTATTTTGGCCATAACTTCCTCATTATCCATCGGAATTGGGCTTATAATATATCGTTGGAAAGGTCTTTTCAAGCCACATCCAAATATACCATTATTGGACCCTTATTATGGACCAAACTAAACTGGAATGGTCGTTTTCATAAAATAGAGTGGATTTTCGAAAATAGAAAGAAGAGAAAAGAAAATAAAAGCTTTCCGCAACACTAGACTTTTCCACACTTTCGTTTCATTCGATTATGATTTGACGTGAAAGGTACTCATCACCGGGTTTGGTTTTGGGGAGACACAAATGGGTGTCTACACGTGGTGAGGATTAGGACCTGCTGTCATGAGCATATCCCTAAGTACCTTGGCGTCAGTTTCCACGATCACTTTCTTAACCCTTAGATCATCAGCAATCGAGAGACCGTCATTCAAGGCATACAACTCAGTAAGAAGGGGAGAGATAGCATCGTATTTGCAAGAAAAGCCTGTTTCGGGTTTTTTTGGATTTCCGGGGATACTGGTCACGCTCTGCTGGCAACGAGTCGGTCCCACCTGCAAAACAACGAATATTCCGATCAACGGAATATTCGCCTCCGACGATCAAGTCAGTGATCAGAACGGAAAAAGGTTAGAGAGAGAAAGTAGAGAGAAGTTGGAGCTATTTAATGCTCTGTTGTTTTTCAATTGTCTCCATCCCTCCCATCATAAATGATTGGAGTATTTATAGGGGTGGGACTCGTGCCCCTCTCTAGGGTTTATACCCTAGATTTGCGTGACGTGATTGGCTGCGCAATCAGCGAATGCCACGTGCCACTCTGGAGGCGCCGGTTTGCGGCTTTCATTGTCATCTCTCGGGATTTGGGCCCTGACGTTGTTAGGGCTTTTTGACGTGCTGATTTTAAAGAAGGATCATATTACCTAAACACATGGCATCTTCCCGTGGTGACACGTGTCACCCTATAACTGGGCCACGTGTAACTATGGGATTGTCCTGAGACCTTAAAGACTCTGGATTGCGTGGCATCTTCCCGTGGTGACATGTGTCACCCTATAACTGGGCCACGTGTCACTATGGGATTGGTCCACGTATACGAGGTATTTTTACCCTCAACATTTGCCCCTCAGAGGGGATGGCTCGTAT